CCCTCGTGCTCTGAGGAAAAAAGAGAGGCGAAAAACAGACGACGAATACAATAGAAAAAACCCCTGCGACTATTCGCTAACTTGATCGTCGGAGGGGTCGGGCCGAGCTCTCCCGACCCGACCTGTGTGCAGGTGCGAAGACGGAGGCCTCCCACCAAACGCCCGGGCGAGGAGTTCCCTCCCGAAGAAAACGGCGACCCCGTCTCGATCGGACCACCGCAGTCGGCCACCTCAACAGCCTCAAGGGTCGTCCCAGAAAGATCCCCCATCATCCGGACCCGAACCAAGTCGCGTCGGCCCCGAGGCCACAGCTTAAAGTTGTTTACACCAACAATATATAAACGAGGCGACATCGCCCCGCGTGGGAGAAGGAAAAGGCGACGCGACTTCGCCTTTTATAAAAAATATTATTTATATATATATATATATACACCAAGCGGTATACCGTTCGGTATACCGCTTGGTATACAATATCGTATTGTACCGAGCGAACGTCGAAACTCCGATACGATACGATATTGTATACCTTGCTGACTACTATTTTTAGCAATATTTCATTTGAAGTGACAACATTAGAATATGCATGAATACTTGAGAATATATTACATATTGTTATACTAAAAAAACAAAGGTATATGACTGGAGCCTCAAACCAATCATTATCATAATTTTCTAGTCAAGAGATGTACTTTTGAATTTTGATATCATACACGAATATACATATTTATACCTGCAAATATGTATTCATGAGAGCAACACTTTTTTGCATGGATAAGGTCAAAGAGAGTTTTTTTCACAATTTTCTGAAAATAAAAGGTCAGCATACTAGTATACATGCATAGATAAGTGACCTACATGTGGTCTTATTAGAGTTTCACAGCATACTCTTGTTTGGAACTATCAAAAGAGAGTCTCAGCACAATAACACAAAGATAAGCCAATGGGGAAAAATATTCAAAAGCTCCCAAGGACTTCAGGTCACAGAAAATGGCAAGAATAAAGCACATCAATAACAGTTAAGCTGTGCTGTGTTCATGTTGGCACAAGCTAACCTTTAAAAAAAAATGATACCAGCACATTCCAGTCTACCTTATAATGAGCTCCAGTAAGAGTGTTTTCAAAAACACAGCAGCTGGAGAGGGTATAATACATGATGCACAAAAGCATGTGATGCTTGTGGGAAAATTTACCTTAAGCATGTTAAGCATGCTTCAGGTGATTTAACCTCATAAACATTAGTATCAGAAAATAATATAACACTCATTTGATACTTTTCTCAGTCAAAATAAGAGACAGAAATATTTTTATATATGATCCAAAGTAGTGCATCAAATCCTTTCTGCCTTGATACTAAACGAGCATGGCCTGCCTTGATCGTGTTGCAGATAAATCAATATTCCATGACTATTCTGAGTCTATCATCCAAAATGATATTGGGTGAAAATAGTTATCACATTCCGCTTTATTTCAAGGAAATATCAGCAGATACTAACAGGTCATACCACGAAACAAAGATGATGGTTGTCGACAACTGAACAAGAAGATCCATAATACTTACATCCGTTCAGCATTTGGACCATACTTCGCGAACTGAACCCTAATTTCTCGGCCGTCCACATTTCTCCCTAATTCGCATCAGAAAGAAAGACAATAAACGCAAAAGACAAGATAATCTGTGGCATAAAATAAGAAGATCAAAGTTGATGGGGGAAATCACACCATCGAGCTTCTCCACGGCTTTCTGTGCCTCATCAGCATACTTATACCTCACGAATGCGAAACCTCGCGAATCCCCAGTCCTTCCGAGTCCATGAAACCGGAGAATATTACAAATCTTGATGGAGAAAAACCCTCGGAATGAAAACACAACAAAAAGAAGAAACGAACTTCGATCCAAGAATGTACCTTCGATCCCTCGGGATGAAGACATCCACCACCTCACCGTACTTGTCGAAGAGCGGGAAGAGGTCGTCTGCCGTCGTCCCTGCGAAAAACACCACCCATGAAGACAAAGAAACTACAGGGAGAGAGGCGTGGAGCAGAGGGTGAATGGGGGAAGACACTCACGGAACGTGATGTTGAGGACGAGGAGGGAATACGTGTCTCTGATGTCCGGAGGCCCGGATCGCCCGAAGTGCGACATCGCCAGATGGGACAGGGAAGGAGAAAGCGTTCAGGGTTTGGGTTTTGAAGGATTAGGGAGAGACCGGTTTTGAAGGATTTATAGGTCGAGTGGGCCTGGGCCTAAATCTTGGATTACGCCCGAATAAAATTGGTTTTCGGGTCCGGGTGAAGGACTTTGTTAATCGGGTAGATCGACCCAAACTCGAATCCAATCGGGTATTAACAGGTCCGAGACCCGTAATCTGATGGGTCAATTAGGTCAAAATTGCCTGACTCTTATTCACCCAGTGACATTTAAACCCCTCCAAATTGCCAGGTATTAACAGGTCCCGTAATCTGATGGGTCAATCGGGTATTAACAGGTCAGAGGCCCGATTCAATCGAATTGCAGCCCAATGACGAACTCCAAATTTATCTGGATCCGCATCCGAGTTACAAGCTAGACTTGATGGTTCATTCGAGGTTAGGGTTGGAACTGATGGAGGTCGGATGCGGATGACTAGATTTCAATCCGAGTCCAGTAGAAAAGAGCGCCGAACCTTTTATCGTCCGCTAGGAAAGGTTTGGGGGCAGGAGAACAGTAGCACCAAGTCGAGGGCATCGGAAAGGGAGGAGATGGGAAGCCGCCTTGGACGACGCGTGATCCACTTCGCAAACCTGCCCATCAAGCTCCTCCTGCCGTCGCCTCCCTTCGATTCCATCCGCGAGATCGCCCTCAAGACCATCCCCTCCGCCTCCAAGGTGGAGATCCGCCGCGTGCTCGAGTCCCTCTACGGCTTTGACGTCGCCGAGGTGCGCACCCTCAACATGGAGGGCAAGAAGACCAAGCGCGGTCCCTTCCTGGCCGCCAAGCCCGACTATAAGAAGGCCTACGTCACGCTCCGCTCCCCCCTCTCCCTCTCCCCCGACCTCTTCCCCGTCAAGCTCATCTTCGAAGAGAAGAAGCGCATCGCCGGTGCCGCCTCCCGCCGCCCTGCCGTTGTCGAGGGCGAAGACGGCCGCGGCGAGCGCAAGCACTGGCTCGACGATAGACGCCGCGAGGAGCCGAGTGGGTATCGCGGCAAGCGTGCTGCTGCTGGTGGCGGCGGGGTACGGCGGCGTAGCGGCGGCAGCGGCGGCGGTGGCGGTGGCGGGAGAGGGAAGAAAGGACAGGAGGAGAACAAGTTCCCCTGGAGCAGCATGCGTCTGTCAGAGTCGGCTTAGAAGGCTTAGAAGTAGTCTGTTTTCTCGCTTAATAAACGTCGAAGACTGCGTCTTTTTCGACCAACCTTGCTGGATTTTCAGGAAAGTTTGTTCGAGATTATTTACATGGTGATAACTTGTTTTTATGAATATTTTTGTTATCCTTTTTACCCTCCTTTGTTATAATGGACGATCTCTGCCTGCTACATGTTTGACGGAAAGCCAGTATGGTTTTTTTACTGTTAGAATTCCGAGTTATTTGCTTTTATTCACTCTTTGCTTCTTATTCAACAACGATTTTTTTGGTTCTAACATACTCGAAGGTGTAGACTTGCTAGTAATAGGTGAAGATGAAAGGTTCTTTAGGATGCTTAATGTTCAAGCGCCGCCCGCCACATGTTTGACGGAAAGCCGATATGGTTTTTTGGGTTTAGAATTCTGATTTATTTCCTTCTGTTCACTCTTTGACTCTCGATCAGTCATGGATTTCTTATTCTGAAATATTGAAGATCGTAGGCTTGCTGGTTATAGGTAGAGAGAGTTTTTATTATCATAAAATAGAGGGAATATATGATGACAACTGATCCAATTATTCCCATTTCATGGTTTAATGGTTTGAAATAGTAATATATGCCTAAATGGAGTGTGGAAGAACTTTTACATTGTGTGTTCCTACGAAAAATAATGAATTAAGTGGAGACTTGGTGTTCCAATTGGCATTGGTTTTTGTCACTCTTTAACTATTGATATGGGTTTTGCTGGCAGCCTTTGTAATCCTTTGTTTATGAGGTAACACTATGATGAAGTTGTCATAATATTCATTGGAATTAAATGGGCAAGATGGGATCCATAAAAATGTGCTTCTGGGAATAATTTCGCTAACATTGCAATTAGTTCATTGTATCGAGGTCACAAGGATTGTGATTAAGTGGAAGTGTGAAATATCTTATGGGTTAATCTGCTTATCTGATAAGATTATTCCTTGAGATGGTAGAGCTAGAAATGAGGCTAAACATATTTGCCAACAAGATAATGTGATAGGTAGGTCTAAGTGGAAAATTCAATTATTTTTAGCATAGCTAGTCATATCTTTATATCAGAATGAATTATGTCCAACTTGAAGGTGCTATCTAGTTATGGTAGAGCTAGAAATGAGGCTAAACATATTTGCCAACAAGATAATGTGGTAGGTAGGTCTAAGTGGAAAATTCAATTATTTTTAGCATAGCTAGTCACATCTTTATATCGAGATGAATTATGTCCAACTTGAAACTACTATCTAGTTTGGCCAGTAAAAGATCATGTCCAACTTGAATGTGCTATCTAGTTTATCTTTTAAAAAAGAAATTTAAAAGATTATGTTTACCTTAGAGTTTGATATAGGCTGGCTCACTTTTAGTTCTATCTGTTGGGATGCTTGTTGTAGCTTCTGTAGCTTCATTATGAAGCTCAAACAAATTGCAAAACTTATGTGCAAGAAGTTGTCTTGTGTGCTATATATATAGCAAAGTGGCCTAACTCAATCCGACTTGTGAGGACCTTATGGGAAAGATAGTTTACATACACCTTATTTTTCTATCCTTCAATTCAGCTATGGCATGTAAATATGCAAAGCTCCATGTCTGGGGCTTGCACTATTATCTTGCTCTTGGATTTACATGTCAAGATCAATCAATTCTTATCTAGCTTCATCAAATCATGTTTGCTAAAAAAACATCAAACCTAGTTCAGTCACCACATGAGACTACTTGACCAAACAAAGTCGTATGGCTTGCTGGTCCACCGTACGTGGACTTGACATCCAGTAACCACGAAGGTCTCTAAAGCATCTTCCTCTCCAAGAAATCAAATGAAAGCGAGGGTAAAACATAGAAAGACCACGTGACCTATACGAATGCTTGAGGAGAAGTAATGATGACGCGTTACCTCTTTCACTTTCCGTGGGAGAGTACCAGCTCGCGAACGAGCCCACAGCCGCGGCAGTTGACGAGCATCCTCACTTCGTCTTCCTCGTGGCAGGGGGAGTCGTCTCCGTTCGCCCTCGAACGCTTCCCCTCCTCGCTCCCGCCCTCCTGCCAGAAACCAAATGACCATAATTCCCTGCTCTGTTGGGTCGTCATAAAAGATCCGATCACAAGCCCTTCACGGGATCTTGAGCACAATCCCTTCGGAAGAAAACTCCCAGGAAAAATAGAAAGAACAAAAAACGAGAGGATCGCTACCACTCATTTGAGATCGCAAGGCGAAGATGATTTGAACGTCAGTGGAAATGTAAAGAGAAATCAAGAACTGCCCCTTGTTTTCCCACAAGGAAAATAGAAAGAATACTACAAATAAAGGATCGCGATCGCCGGTTGGAGATCGTTAGGCGACGATAATTTGGACGATGAGAAAAAAAATTAAGGGCTACCCTAGTCCAACAGGGGAGTTACCGCCTCATCCGGACCCGAGGAAGAAGTGGCGGAGGGGGACGAATTCGACATCTCCGGTGGAGGGGACAGGGGAGTGGTCGGGTCCGAGGACCGGTAGACAAAGGAGCCGCCCGTCGGTGTCGATGGAGAGGACGGCGAGATCCTAACCGTCGGCTCGAGGTGGGAAGCGAGTCCAGCGGAGACGGGGAAGGAGTGGGAGTGGACGAAAGGGGTAAAAACGGCAGGCGGGAGCGTCAACGAGAGGCTGGCGGCCGGGAATTGTAAGGAGGAGAAAGATGACCCAGAGCGCCGGAGGGCGAGGGCGGAGGGGGATGAGTGGTGAGAAGCGGAATCGGAACGTTGGAGGAGGGGGCCGGCGCCAGGGGGAGGGGGAGAAGGTGGGGAGGAAGCTAGGTCGTAGACAAGGAGCTTCTTGCGCGGGCGGGTGGGTGGTTGGAGGCAGCGGCGCTTGCGGTTGCCGCAGCAGGGGCAGGGCTCGGAGAAGGCGACGGCAGAGGGAGCGGAGCCCTCCAACCGGAGCTCCGCGAAAGAGAAGCATCCCACCGCAGCGGATCCCGTCGACGTCTCGGCGACTTCCATCTCTCTCTCGCCACTTCCTCTGCTTTTGTTTTCTTGAATCGATGCACTGAGATGGAGGGAAATAAAGGCGGAGCAGGTTGCATACACACGAGTAGATCTACGGTCCAGATAGGCTGCCGAAACGATGGAACGGCTGAGATTTCCTCCGACGCCGAGGACTTCTTGAACCCCATGACGAGGTTGTTGTCGACCTTATCGAAAAGGATCGGACGGTGTGGAATTTCCATCTACTTATAATGGCCAATATAGTTTTAATATAGTTTTGCTAGCATTTCACGAGCATTTTATAGAAGACATTTACTTCCAATTTCTCAAATCGACATAAATCACATTGAATTGAAACGATATAGATCAATTAGCGACATCAATTTGGTGAATTCGATGTAGTTGATTTAAAAAAAACAGCAGTTCACCAACTGGGGTTCTTATGGTTGCAGATGGAGATACAAGAGAACAGAGTTGTAAAGATACATCGGAGCATTTCCCAGCGACACAAAACCCTAATCCAAAAGCCTAAGAAAAAGGAAAAGGGCGATCGGAAACGATCCTCTCGAATCAGACCTCGTCTTCGTGGAGGAGCATGTTGGGGATGCCCTTAGTGATGGGGAACCCGCGGCCAGTCTCGGGGCACACGAGGGCGCCCTCCTCGACGTGGATCTCGAGCAGCGCGTGGTGGAAGCGGCGGAGGAAGTCCTCGGAGTCCAGCATCGCGGCGTCGGCCTCCTCGGGAAGCTCGCAGTAGTCGACGGCGCGGGCGGCGCCCGCAAGGGCCTTCCATTCGATCTTAGGGAAGATGTGGCGGAGAAAGTCGGCGTTGAGCTCCACCTCCTTCTCGACCCACTTCTCGGCCTCCAGGCGGAGGGGGAAGCCGTTGGTGACGCCCTTGATGTTGCAGGAGAGCATGTTGTGTGTCAAAAGCCTCATCTTTCCGCCGCCTCCTTTCGCTCTATCGATCGCACTTTTGGGACCTTGAGATATCAAGAACGTGCCCTAAAGCCTTATAAAAAGAGAGCTCGGATCGGAGCACCGTCGGTACACTCAACCAAATAGCTAACTTGTCATTAAAAATATATATTCTCATTCCGAACTAATATTTATTTGTTTATTTCTTAAATTTTGGAAATTGTATAATATGAACTTATTAAAAGCAATATATATATATATATACGATATATATATATACTTATTTGATAATTAAATGAAGCAAGCGAAGTACGAGGAAGCTATATTTCCGAGTACCGCTCATAATTTGAAGTACAAGAGAATTATGGATAGTATTTAGCCCTCATAATCTACCCCTTGAGCATTAGCTTATCGCCGATCATTATTGATTCATAAAAATGTGCATGGATGCTATAGTTATAATATAACAATTAAGACTAAGTATAAATTATTCTTTATAATTAATTATGATGATCTTTATACTTTAAAAAATTATATTAAGATTCTTTTACATAAGAAAGTAAAATATTTAATTCTGTTTCTCTTCGTGTCATCAACTCTATTGATAGAAAATTTCACACGTGTTGTCATACGTAGAAAAATAATATTTTAAAAAGAGATAAAAATATAATTTTATAATTACTATTCTCATCGCCCTCCCCTCTATCTTCGCTATTTTGTTATGTTTCTTTTCGCTCTCACACCTTTCCTTAGTCCTCTTATCGAGACTACCTCCATCACGCACCATCACCTCCTGGCCTTCACAGACAATGGAGACCTCCTGACAACTTCGAGTTCAATGTCGAGATCGGTGTCATCATCGCCAATCCTTGCCTCCATTGTGCCTATGCCACTTTGAGAGCAGGGAATGAAACTATGTACTCCAACTCTCACAACTTTATTGGTAACTAGATTGATCCTGACGTGTGCAATTATCATAGTGTCTCTGCATCGCGATGTACCTTAACAACATCAAAATATCACCAGGTACCTCCCTACAGAGCTCGACCTCTTGATTGTAAGACTCCGATCACTTTCGTGACACCATCTTCGATCACCGCCCTCCTCCACATCAACTCCAATTGCTTTTGTGGTATCATCCCCTAAAACATCTTTCATCTCAAAACTCCTCCATAAGCTCGATGCTAGTAATAACCACTTCATTGACCCATTCTTAGATGTTGCCCTTCGCTTGTCGTCGTATAAATACCTCAACCTTTGATTCAATGACTTTGAGGGAGCACTATCGTTGGTGCTCTTCAACAAGGAGCTCAACGTCATATCTAAAATGATAATTATTTTAGCTCTCAATGACCAACAATTTTAGCAACTTCAAAGCTTCCATCATCATCAACGCCAACTACAAGATCCATTGCTATATTTCAAGCAGTATCGGCAAGATGGTAAGCACCCTCAACTAGCTCGTTTTGATAATAAGTTTTCGAGATTTAATCAAAGTTTTTTTCTTCAAGTAGATTGTTCGGGAGGATAGCGAAGCCGATGAACGATAGCAAAGCGTGTCATTTTCTGCATGTGACAACATGTGCAGTATATTCCGTCGATAGAGTTGATGGCATGAGAAGACAAATTATTAAATATTTTATTTTTATAAATATAAAGATCCCAATGTAACTTTTTAAATATAAGGATCGTGATGTTAAATATTAACAACTACATAGGATAATATATAATTAGCCTTAACGGTTCATGATAAGTTGAAAGTTCTCGATTGATATATCAAATGAGCATCTAGTGTCGTCGAATAAGTGTGACATAGTTATGATTAATTAAAATTATATTAATCCTAAAATTGAATTAAAATCAAGCCAAGACGGAGAAATTCGAACCGCCAACCACTCAAATTATGAAAAATACACCACTCTTAGATATCAACAGTAATTTCTACGTGCTATTGGTCCCTCTCATAGCCGTTTCCTGTTTTGAGGAGACGGCTGAGCAACACTAAGTTTCGTTGGCACACACGTGCCCGGTGACGTGGGGCAAACCCTTCACGAAGCAATTCCTTCGTACCTTTTCGGTAACTCCGGTTTCGATAGCCTTCATTTTCTGTCACCGTGGTTTGGACCCCACCTGCCTCTGACCAATCAACGACAGGTGCATCGAACACAGTTAGTGAACACGTAAATAAGATATCGCTCTCGGAAAAGAAAGCTATCGTAAACGGCTTGAATTTATATATATTTACACACACCGAACAACGCACCGCTATTGACACGTGGGCATCCTCAGCGGGACCCGCGTGGGTCATCGATTCGGGGTAAACACGGGTAACTCGTCGGTCGTCTCATATCAAATACACCAGAGAAAACCTTCTCAACGCCGTCTTCCGATCCGTCGCGCTCCGCCCATCATCAACAACGGACCGATCCGAAATAAATAGAACGAAGAGGGAAAGAAAGGAAACTACAGAAAGAGCCGGCGAGGAAACCCTAGTGGGGACGTTTACGATCGAGGCACGAATTCCTTCCCGTTTCAGTCGATAGAGCCTCTCCATCGGTGGGGGCGAAACCTCGGAACCGACGGCTGAGGGAGCGATAGGGGGAACGCGACAGGGTTCGGGTTGCGGCGCTTGGATTGCTGCTGGGCGGTGAGCACGAACGGTGGATGGTGATGGGCGCCACGGGGTCTAAGTTGGAGAAGGCCCTCGGCGAGCAATTTCCCGAAGGCGAGCGCTACTTTGGTCTCGAGAACTTCGGCAATACCTGCTATTGCAACAGCGTCTTGCAGGTTCCCTTTGTTTTTATGTTTTCCCCCTTCGTCGTCGTAAAGAAACACGAAACCGCTCCTCAAATTTGATCCTTTCCTATTGTGTCAATTTCTCTTTCGTATGATAGGATCACATCTGATTTCTGCATCCTATGGGAAAAAGTAGGAAGCAATTTTATAACTTTTGCTACTTAACGGAGAGCGTACTGATTCAAATGTCCTTTTCCTTAAAATGTGATCGTTCTAGTAATTTTGCAATATGTTTTACGCTCTCAACATGAGGGAACCCGGATACACACCAGATCTTAGACGTGAACCACTGAAAAGAAAACTAGTGTTGTAAGTCTTAATATTGTGTTCGCTCTCACCAACTACTGACTTCAAGATCTTATCATGTTAACTTATAGAAAACGTAACAGTATGTCAGAATCCTTTATAACTCAAGTCATTGTCTATTGATCTTGAACTAAATCTAAAGTAAAATTTTCAGTAAAGAAACTTTATCTGCCTTCATCCTATTGTTTAAACTGGTGTTTGAAGCCCATATTGTCTCTTCTTCGAGGCCATAAGATGTAACATGTGGCGCTTGCATTTATCCACAACGCAAAGCCTCCCCTTCTCTGAAATTCTTGTTTTTTGATTTTTCTGTTAGGTTTGTTTTCTTAATGAATTTTATCAAATGCTTTTGATTTCTTGCAAATAAAAGTGGAAATATTTGTAACTATAAAGAAAGATATGAAGTTGAGATCTGGTAGAATTAACGATTCTAAAATGATCAAATATCGAACAATTAATTTAAGAAGAAAAGCTACAAATGAGGATCCATCATCCATGCAGAGTCCATCTGATAAAAGTCATCCTTTGTTGCAATGCTTGAGATCTTTTTAGTGTTATGAAGGTTTTTGCGGTTATATTGTTCAGCTTCACTTAAATTGTGCAATTTGGAACTAATCTTAAAGATACAAAGGCTTCCATTAGATGTAGTGATAAAGCTTTATGATTGTTTGGAGACATGCTCAGTTGTTTCACTATCACAGAAACTAAGGGCATGTATTCAAATTAGTTAAATTTGAGATGATTAAAGGTTTTGGTCTAGTCAAGTATGGGGTTGAATTAAATAATCCTAGTTCGTGTAACATAGGTTCGGCATGATGGTTTTTAATATTTGACAAGTTTTATTTTTCTTGGGAAACTAACCTTTTTTTTTGTCTGTCTTTATCTTTATTCTATCTTTGTTACCTTTTTCTACTGTAGCAACAAACATTGTTGTTGAAAGCGTTAGATGCCAAAAGGCTCCCAAAATGCCTGAAGCTCTAGGCACTTGTTCGAATGAAACAAGACGCTCCCGAATATTATAATTTAAAAAATATATATCATGATTAATATAAATAAACTAAAACTAAAATAACACATCAAAGAGGGAAAAATACTATCGGTGATTGTTTGAGTTGGCTAAAATCCTTGAAGCTTTCTTACAGCTCCGTAAAGGGGTCAATCTAGATGAATAGCCTAGTGAGAACCCACTTCCACCTGCCAACTTGACCTAGTTCTTTTTTTTCTATTGATTCGATCCTATAAGCAATAGAAGGGATGGCAGTAGAGCATAGTCAATGAACCTGCGGGAAGCAAAAGCAGCAATAAACTGATACATGGGTCACATAAGGTGGGGAAGAGGGAGCTCGCCCTGCCTAACGCTTGGGCCCAGACAAGCCTCTGTGCCGCGCCTGAGTTAAATTGCCCACCCAGCCCAATAGGCGGGTGCTCGGGCCACAGCTCGCCTAGGCAAGCGCCCAGGAGCCCTTTGACTTCACTGGCAATAGGACAATTAAGGCTTTCTGACTCTCGACAGTTAGTATTTGATATGTTAGTTCCATTCTTAATTTTCGCAGCATCCTCTGATTCTCCATGTATAACTAATATGTTTCTTCCGCTGATGTAAGTTCACCTTTTCTCATCTGTTGGTCCTTGATCATGAAGGTACATCCAAATTTCATTTTGGTTGACTTTCTAAATTCTGATACCTCAACCGTGCGATCAATACATCATGTAAAGTGAACAAGCAGTTGTGCTCCTTTTCGATGATTCAGCTGACAGCACTAGGTTACATTCAAATTAATTTCTACTTGTGCCTTTTAAGTATCTTCAGATTATTCTTCACTGTTTCATCTACCTATTTGGCATTGTATGAATATATTTTATAGTCAGTACAAGTACTTTACTTCCTTTTTATGTCCTGCACGTGTGGACTGAAAATTTTCTAATCAAACAAAATTCCATGTCAAAAAACATCATAGTGGAGTGAAATAGATGCTACGACATGGTGCACATTTATTTGTAGATGCATAGGTGTAGTTTCAGCTTCTCAGGGGAAAGTGTGGCAAGAGTTTTATTGTTGTTGGTATGATCGACTTAGTTGTAGTCTTTTCTTGTTGACTATATGTCCACCTTAATGATCCTGAAAGCTTTGTTTCAGAGGTAACCCTTCTTTGTTGCTCGACTTGGGCATTATTCGACTATTTGGGCTTTTATGCTGATAAGCTTTACTCTTATTTTAAATCATTTTGGCGAATTTATATATTTTTTATTATTTCTCATCTTTTTGACATTCCTACTTTGTAGAGGATGATTGTTTTGACACACTAAATCAAATGATGAAAAATTTGCAAACCACGTAGATTTAGTGGTCGTTGGTTTCCTTCACTTTTTTCCCCACATATTCCCATATGTTGCATCAAGTCTTGAAATGTAGGTATTGTAGTTTACTTGCTTGCAGGGTTGGTTTTAGTTGGCATGTTCTTTATCTATTCAGATGGATGGGAACTTGTTGAATGTAACTTATTGACATGTAATAAATTGCAACTGCTTTAGGATTTTTTTAATTTATTTTAATGAGGAGAATTTGTGCCTAAACAACACTATGTGATGACTGATTGTCCCAAATGTTGTAGTAATAACATATTAACTTTTATTCCCTTACTAAAGTGATAAGAAAGTTCTGCATATGTTAAAATGATCTTTTGAAAATATAACTTTAAGTGATCCACTTTGAGGATCTTTCTTTAGTATGTATTCCCTCATGTTCTAATTTATTTATAAACTAGTGTCATTATGGCATGTTACATGCAGGTGCTTTATTTTTGCATCCCCTTCCGTGAGCAATTGCTGGATTACTATGAAAACAACAAAAATGTTGGGGATGCAGAGGAGAACCTTTTGACATGTCTTGCCGATCTGTTCTCTCAGGTTTGTGGTTTCATGAGGATTTCTCATTTCATTATTCTTATAATTCTACCTACATTATTTCATCAATATGTAGAAATTCTGTTTCACTTTATGATGCTCCTAAATTGTATTTTTCACTACAGTCCTGGGCGAAAAAAAGAAAAATAAAGAACATGATGATCTGAGGGACATGTTCGCTTAGACAGAAAATTCATCACTATTTTATGTGTTTAAAACTTAAAAGTTGCTCACACCATATAATGGTCTTACAAAATTGCTCGTAACCTTATGACCTTCATTATAGTCTTGGGTGAAAACAAAATTGCTCATAACCTTATAATCTAAGGGAAACACAATGATCAAACTTAACTTTGCTCTCCACTTCAACCATCTAGCTTTTACTCTATGACTAATATGTCCAAGGTACCAAAACTCTATTCATAGGTACTTATAACTTTTATACATTTTGGTTACACCCTCATTACTTGTTAGTATTTCTGAAATCATATTTTATATATTTAGTGTTAGTCACACTTTGGTTACACCCTCATCAGTCAAAATAATACTGTCGGCAAATAACATACGCACGAGGGTTTATCCTGTATATGATCAGTAAATTCATAGATTTTTTATACTGAAAAAAATAAGATCAGACCTTGATTTAATCCTATAGTTGTATTAAGCTTGCTAAACAGTTCCTATAGTCCTAGCACCAGTGATTACTTGACAATTACTTGCAAATAGTGATGAATTTTCACTTACAGCATAAATTCTTATTAACTTCCAGTAGATGCTTTGCATCACCTTATTCTGCGGTCTTGACAATTATTTTTCCTTCTAAGTCAATAATGTGAGGCCATGATACTTTGTGTCAGTTAAATCCTTCAAGTTTATTGTATCTTAGTGATGGAATGTTATTTGGTAAGTCATCTTATTTGAGTTGCCATCTACTTTCTCTTGTAACTGTATGATTAAGTTGTCCAGTTGATATTTGTCACTTGAAAATTGTTATGCTTGATATATCCAGGGAAATCAGATGTGCACTGCAGTTATGTTCAATTGCATGCTACTTTGTGCAGATCAGCTCTCAGAAGAAGAAAACTGGCGTTATATCTCCTAGGCGTTTTGTGCAAAGAGTGAAGAAACAAAATGAACTCTTCCGCAGCTATATGCACCAGGTAAGTTTTGATGCTTGCTGTGTAATTTGTATTGTCGGAAAATTGACATGGTGGCAGTTTCATATCGGTTCCAGAGATTGTATGCTCTGAATGATACAAGTTCTTGTAGCTAATTCACTGTTATCTCTTTGTATATTTGTAGGATGCACATGAATTTCTGAATTTCCTGCTTAATGAGCTTGTTGATACTCTGGAGAGAGAGTCTAATGCTGCAAATTCTTCCCCTGAAGCCTCATCATCATCATCGTCATCATCATCTGAGAAGGTTGCAAATGGTCCAAGCAATCCTCCTGTCAATGGCTTACGGAAAGACCCTTTTGTTACTTGGGTTCATGACAGTTTTCAGGTAAATCAAGTGATCATGTCTGGTAATCCTTGTTTTACTGTTGGATGTTAATTCTGATTTATTGCAGAAACCCAGGCAAGTTTATGGTCATTGTCCTTTCACATACAGGGTATTCTAACCAATGAAACGAGGTGCTTGCGTTGTGAAACTGTTACTGCAAGAGATGAAACATTTTTTGACCTAAGCCTTGACATTGAGCAAAATAGTTCAATCACAAGTTGTCTCAAGAATTTTAGCTCAACAGAGACTCTGAATGCAGAGGACAAGTTTTTCTGCGACAAATGCTGCAGGTACATTGTGTCTTTCACTCAACTGTTCTTTTTACTATCATTAAGTCTCATCATAGTTTTGTTGTGCCCTTTTCCCTCAATCATCATAAACCTGTAGTCTCCAAGGTCAAATGTAGCATTGTCCAAGAAAGACTGTTAGTCATGGTCTCATCCATTATCATACAAGTATTTAATAGCATATTTGGACCAAAATCAACTCATGTTTTGATTGAAGCAGTTGTGTTTTATTGTGTTGGTACTGATGAAATATTTGGATCATCAATTCTGTTTATATTTCATTTTGGGTTTCAATAACCAAACTAATTTACCACATAGTAGTTATTAAGCTGGTACGTTTGCATTAAGTTTCAGGAATCATGAGTTTCAAGTTGTAGCATCTTTTTCTTGCTGGAAGTCTGGACCCTGGGATCCTGTTTTGATAATTAGCCACAATAGTCTCTTCCTGATGGCATTTTTTTTGTCAAATTGATCACTAAATGTCAACGAGTTATAGGTATCTGAATGGGTATTTTTCTTGTTCTTGTGCTGGGGCAGTTTGCAAGAGGCCCAGAAGAGGATGAAGATTAAGAAGCCACCAAGCATCCTGGTAATTCATCTCAAGCGCTTCAAGTATATTGAGCACCTTGGTCGTAACAAGAAGCTATCATACCGGGTCGTGTTTCCCATGGAGTTGAAACTTATGAACACTGTCGAAGATCCCGACACAGAGTATTCACTCTTTGCAGTTGTGGTTCATATAGGAACTGGTCCGAACCATGGTCACTATGTCAGTCTCGTCAAGAGTCATAACCACTGGCTCTACTTTGACGATGAGACTGTGGAGATGATTGATGAATTGACCATGCACAAGTACTTTGGTTCTTCACAGGAGTACCCGAGCAACACAGAACATGGGTATATTTTGTTCTATGAGAGCCTTGGTAAAAGCAGCTGAGGAGCTCATCATTTGGGGTTTTGAGGCACTTTTCATTTTCCAGCCATTAATACCTTTTTTTCCCTAATATATATTTTTTAGAATTGCTATTCAAATTCTAGGTATAGAGCTTAACCAGAGGATGTGATATTTATAGTAAATGCAGTGTATAGTGGATGGTGGAAGCCCATAATCTTTTTCTCTAATAAGGAATTTTCAGGACGTGAAAGGTTCACAGGAGAGAGATATTTATTGCATGCCATGGTTTGCTTGGTGGATTTGCTGTATCTACATAATCAATGTCTGCCCTAATTAGGTGAGTGATTTCTACGTATTTGGCCCAAAAGCAATGATTGACTTTGAATCTTTGTTAGGTTCATCCCTCGAGACCAAAAACCATTGTACCTGTGATGCCCGCCCCCCAATTAATTATTGGTTTCTTTGATTTTGTATTTTATTGCTTGATTACAATTGGATATAACTTTGCATTTTTCTGACATTGCTTATGCGTGACGTTTATTCTTCATGAGAGTGATTGATGTAAACAGATGCATTATGGAAGTTCTACTTTCATAGTCTATTGATTTATAGAAAATATATTTCTTATATTAAGTCGCTAAATAATGGCTTTTAGCTAAAGCCCAAATTTTTTTATAGATGAAATTGGGTTGGTTGGCTATATGTGAAGGAGTAGCCAATAGATTTTATTTTTTTTCTTTAATGCCTGCATGTATGTATGTATGTATGTATGTATGCATGTGCAAGGAGTAGCTAATAGTTTTTTTTTTTTTTATGTATGTATGTGTGTATATATGTAAGGTAAAAAAAAAACGTCATACAAGGTGGAAGGATGTAGTTTGGGTTACAGTAGATCATGTTATGATATGATAAATCTGTCTTTTTCATATGGTAAAATTTGAAAGAATAATATGGTTGATCAGAAGCACCAGTTTCATGAAAATGTTTTTGTTGCTTGTGCTAACCATCAACGGTGTTAGATATTTACTCACCCATCAGCCCGAATGGGGAGTAACCAATGATGATGTAGATTTGAGGACAACATCGCTTTCTTTCCTTCTCGGTGTCATCAACCACGTCACAAAATGTGTACGGGCCTCCATGTTGTCATCGATAGGAGGCCAGCCGAGGGACATATTACGTTGCGTTCCAGTCTGAAATTTCTAATGTTTGGCTGCAATGACGTATGAGACTTCGTGAGATGCATGGAGAAATGGACTCCATGAAGTTTGGTTTGCTGCTTCAGTCCCTGACAACGACCTACTGACTCCTGTCACCTACGACGACGACGACGAAGAAGAAGAAGAAGAAGAAGAAGAAGCTGTTTATTGTGCATTAGACTGCATGATACGGGGGATAAGTTTGTCTCTCCGCAAAAGAGCTTGGCTAATAGTATCGATTGCACGAACAAGGATGGGTGATGAAACATGTGGGTCTTTATATTACTTTGGATTAAGAAGAGGCAATCAACTGGACTTTTCTGCCATCGTATAGTTTAACTATGGCATTGACTCGGATCCATGTATGTAGATGACAGGTTCTTTCTTCAATCACATTTTTATTTGCTTGTCTTAACAAAAGATGAGGATAACAATCAACATATGTGCATTGGCAAACGTTGTACGAAGAAAAGAAAGGGTGGCGTTTCCTCATCGACAGTCTCGAATCCACCAAGCACAAACCTCGCAAGGATGACGAGGGAAATATATCATATAGGTCCGCGCACAAGGGGGTCGTCAAAGAACTCAGACCAGAAAGATGGAGGAAGCACGCATCCGGCATTACTGGAAATGATGCAATTGTCTCCATTGCCCAATGATCGATCGGCATCCCTGAGAAGAGCTGATGGAGTAGACATGGCTGCTTCTAGTTCATCGTTGCAAGTCGAATCCTGTTTTATATAGTTCCCAAGAGGCTGCTGATGAAACCCGAATGACATCTCTGGCACACCATAGAATTCAGCATTGGATATAGCTGCTGGAAAAAGGCCAGGAGATGGAACTGAAGTAGTAGTATCTGGGGCTTGCGTGTTCATTGAACTCATGGGCTTCATCTCAGGAATGATGCTACTGAAGCTGCTCATATTAATTGTTGCTGGAGACTGGAGAAGAGACTGCAGAAACCTGGCTGCATGATCATCCCATGCACGGAGTTCCATGATCCGTGTGAGGTCTGCAAGGCACAGAAGTTGAGTCAAGGTGGCCAGAAGATCCATCCTCGGGTGATGCGTCATTGGGTCGACGCCGATACGGATAAGCTTCTTCTTCAGGTGGGTGTTCCAGAAGTTCTTGATCTCGTTATCGGTCCGACCTGGGAGGTGGGTTGCAATGGCTGACCACCTGAGAATGTAGAAGTAGAAGGAACAATAAAAAGAAGCTTCAGACGAGCCGGTGGTGCAAGATATTTGAATGTGTTCCGTGTACTTGTTTCCCAGGATGGAGTGGAGATGAAGAATGGTTTGCTCTTCCTCTGGTGAGAACTTCCCTCTCTTTATGTCTGGCCTCAAATAGTTTGTCCATCTTAGCCTGCAACTCTTACCACATCTGTTGAGCCCTGCATAAAAACCAAACCACACCTCTTACATATAAAAAGAAAATAGAAGACAGAGAAAACACATACACACACACACACACACACACATATATATATATATATATATATATATAGAGAGAGAGAGAGAGAGAGAGAGAGAGAGAGACCAGCAAGTTTAGGAAGGGCTCTCCAGCTTCCATGGCCATTCTTCTGGATGTATTGGATGAGCTTCTGGTCCTCTTCAGGGGTCCAAGGACCCTTCTTGATGCCACTCTCATCACAGCATGGGGGTCTTCCCATCCTCTCCTGCTGTGGAAGGTTCAGAACTTAAATTGCCTCCTCTCAATCTTAGCGCACAAAGCCATTTATACACTGGATCTAATCATGTCTAATGCATCCAAGTGAAATGACCAACTAACCCTTCTATTACTCTTTTAAAGGGCAAATTTTCTTTTCTGCACAAGTATTCTATGGCCAGATGAAACCTGATCTATGGAAAAAAGAAACAACCTTAAATTAGCTCTAAACCCTCTTAGGCTCGCTTCTCATAGGCATAGAAAACACTCGTCTGATCAAAATGTTTTTGTTCTAATCCAAGTTTTTTCTTTTTGTGGCCACGTTTGAAGTCATCTGCTGCTGTTTCAGTCAAAAACTCATAATTGAGGATAATGGGTCAATTACAAGCATATTCTAATCACTTCAAATAGGATTCGTACCAAACAAACATTTCTATTGGATGGGTATTGCCATATGCACAGGAAATTAGATCCACTGTTATGGTAGAGGGGACATGCTCAGAGGTGACAGTTTCCCACCCCAACCAACTCCGTTGATTCCTCTTTTTTTCCAGTTTATTGCAAGAATATGTTCAGTTTATCGCAGGCTTATAATATTTATCAGTACAATACTTTGCTGAATAACATAATATTAAACTATCATCAGAAGGTTGAAATGTTCTGTAGGAACAGATAAGACCACCAATGCTAAGTTCTTGTTTTGGTTGGGAAGTTGGGAAATGTCTTAACTTATTGTCCTCTAGTAAAAGGAGGGTAAAAATTATAAGAGGTCTAACATTTGATAAAGGAAAGACTTATGAGAGACAAAAGAATTTGAGGCCAACATAATCTTCATTGGATAAAGGATTTACGGTACGCTCCTTTTTCTGGTTGTCGTCCAATGTGTGTGTGTGTGCGCGCGTAGCTCACACATGAACAAAATCCCTCTTGGTACAGAACCTATGCTTGAGACATTATCATCTCTCTCTAGGAATGAGACTTAGGTCAGAATTACATGCAGATGAGAGGCCAGTACTACACGAAAAGCGCTCAGGACTACATACAAGAAAGCACAGGGAGGCCATCTCTGGTAGAAACCCCGGAGACTGTGGCTTTGCAGGTACATGAACTGCAGTGAGAAAGGTGTTGGAACAATCTCAGAAGGCAACGAGCAGGTGGGATGAAGGTATGGAGAAGTTTTTGGATTAGCAGAGGAGGAAAAAGCAAAAACAAAAAAAGACATTCACTACGTTTCCTTCTTAACGAAAATATGAAGACAACGAGACAGGAACTAACCCAAAAATTTCTTAATCTAAATATTTGTTATGATTGAAACACAAAGAAAGTGAACTAAAACAGTACCTAGTGAGAATGTCGTGGTAGGTAGACAGCATCAATCCAAGTCCACTTGTAGCCAGTAGCAAAGTTTGGATCCTCCACCTGTAAACATTTAGAATCTTCAATGACCATAGCATAATCAAATCCCACACGGGAAGACATCACATATTTATAATACGCATGGAGTTACAAGATTGCTTCCAGCCATCATTAAAAATTTTGCCTGCCTAATTCGAGGGTGCCTTTTGAAGGACGATCTCCATGACTGACATAGCCTCTAGTACCTGCATGATCATGCCACTGATAAGGTTTCATATGGATATGTAATAGATTTCTGGGACAGTGCGGTACAGCTCCAAAATTGGTTCAACAGGAGCAATGATTCATAATGGCCCCAGCAGAGCTTGAATCAAATACAAGTTGTTTCTTGATCATTTCCAAAGAGCTTAAAAGTCAACTGCCTGTAATTGTTCAAGCTAAGTATATCCTAATGAGATTTAACGAAAAGTGTGCAAGCAAAAAGACAATCAATTCTGTGCATAAAACCGAGCAATCAAAAGTCATTTTGTACGAAAGACTTCAGATAATAAAATGTGTCACATTATGTGATTGAATTAGTTTTTTAGGCTAAGATTCCTTCTGAGATGAATAACCAACAAAAAATATTCAAATGCATCTCTTATGACACCAAACAGTGCATGTAGATTTGTACCTCAACTAATCAACCAATTTCCTTGTAACTCTCAGTTTCAACTCATAACAAGTAGGCTGTGCATCAAGTTCTTAAACATATCCTGCAATAATTCTATCATTAATTTCACCAAGTAGAGCTATAGATGCAAGATTTAATAAAATGAACGGATAATGTAGTCACATTCCGATTTCTTATCTTACCTGCCTTTCGTCTAAGCAATGTCATTGCAACAACAGTATGCATAGATTATCTTGCAGTTTTAACTGTTGGAAAAAGAAGTGGGGTCGGCAGACATAACCCTAAATTAATAAATGTAAACAAGTTGATGCCCACTAAACCACCTGAAGGAGTCAACTACCTCAGCA